AAGTGAAGACATTAAAAAAAAATGTTAAATGTTGAGTGTTACGTGATACTTAATTTTAGTATATTTTCCATTCCCATTTTTAGTTATGCTCTTTGCATTGGACAACTCAAACAGTTGTCTAAGTTAGATAAAAGCACATTCACAAAGATCTTTCATTGTAACACACTATATTTTAGACACTAGGGAAAGCCACAGTACAAGATTAGAAGACAGAGAGCCCTCAACATCAAATATACTTTTCAAAGAAAGACTATCACTCTAAAGTGAAGGAAAAGATACGGGTAGACTGAACACAATTATCTAACTGGAATTTTTCCAATGGTCTCTCTGAACTGAGTCAAAGCATCCTCGAAGTATTAGCAATTTAATGATCTTAAATCTGAACTTCAGTGGCTCAGGATGTTAAAGGAACCATTCATTGCCTGGCTACTTAAAAGTTAGCCTGATTCTTGAAAAGATTTCAAGCCCCCATTACGTCTCCATCAACTTAGACCAACATCTAAGGCTTTTCTGAAAAAGCTATTGATGACATACTCAGCTTGTATGCAAAATTCCAAATACACTTTCTTCTCTAATTTCTGGCAGTGATTAGTATGTCTGAGAAAGGGAAAATTAATTTAAAACTTCTGCCCCTCTAGCAGTAACAGCAAAAAAGCTCTGAAATTTGCTTAATTAATCAAGCACAACACAGATTACAATATATTTTGATCATATTCTAATAAAATTATTTACGTAAAGTCTGAAATACGATGTTCCTATCACTCATGCTGCCTGGCAGAACTGAGTCTTTTTCTCGCCAAAGTCCATGTCCTTAAATGCATTTATGTCCAAGATGTTAAGTTTGGTTTCAGAAACTTCTTCTACCGTTTAAAACTCATTTACAAAATGCACCAAATGAATCTTCCCTAATTTAGCGTTTCACTACATAAAAATTCCTTAGAAAATCTCTATGTAATAGAAATCCCTCACTGAGAGGCATTGGGTGTATTATTTTAAAGACTTTGAGAATCCGTAATAAAAAAAAAGTTTCAAACTCTGTTTAAAACAGCATTTCTCAAATTTATTTGACCATTAATAACCGCTTGATTATGTAATAGCTGTTAGCATCCTGACATATACCATGGGAAACGCCTTGGGAAAGACTGGTATAAACAATACTCAGAATGTGTCTTATAGTGCAAAAACATCTACAAACATTCTGTGTCTAGATTTATTTATTACTCCTTTTATTTACTCTATTTATTTTATGTTTGATCAAGTAGATACCACAGTGGCAAGACTTTTATTGGCTTGGGCCACTGCAGTAAGGACACTGGATCACTAGGGGAAATATACCCAGTTTTCATGAAGAAACCATTTGTTTTGATCCTCAATTTTTATTTGTCATTGGAGGTGTTTAAGCAAGAGCCGGAGGTCTAGTTTTGAGGGGTGCTATAGCAGAGGGGACTGAAGGATGAAGCCGAGGCTTGGTTCAAAGGCCTAAGTCATCTAAGTCATTTCTAAGATTCTGATTCCTCAATGACACCTGCTTGGGAGAGTTTCGTATTATCAGCAATTAACCCAGGAAAGTTAAAACACTGGTTACCTGGAGGGAAACTAAATACCTTTCAGGATCAGACGTAAGGAATTCTCAGAGGTATCACAAATTACTAAATACTTTGATCTTTAGGTCATAATAATACTCAACAATCTCTTAAACTTAAGTTTCCCATGATGGCTTATTTTAGAAAACAAACTATATTTTTAGAAGTCAAAGTTATTTCAAAATTGGGCAAAGTTCCAAAATGAAAATTCTGAACCAGGCTTGAGAATAAAATATTGCTTTCCACAAGGCAGTCACTTACGTAGACCGACACACGGAAAGTTGGCATCTGATGTCACTGAACCAAAGGTCATTTTAAGAAGCCTGTGCACAATATTTGTTAATAAAAGAAGATTCCTTTTCAGTGACCGAGCAAGAAACTAGGTGTTTCATTTGCTTGTTTCTTTTGAGATTTTAAATCCACTACTGAGTAAGATGTCCCCATTTAGAAACAATAGAGCATCTGTCTGCCTCATTAAATGAGTTGGGAAAAGGTCTCCAACAGAAAGGAGTCCAGCTCCACATAACCATCTTTATTACCAACAAAAAGAAAAAAAAACATATTTATATAAATACACATATATTATATAAATAGACTATTATTAAGTACTTATGTAGTATGGGAAATGGATTTTAGGGGAAGAAATGAGAACTGAGAGCTACACTTTGAGCACCTATATAGCAATCATGGGTAAGACTTACTGGGCACTTATAATCTGCCAATCACTGCGCTAAGTGCTGCATGTTTATCAATTCATTCAGTCCTCACAATTTGCTTCCCAAAGTAATATGCATAGAAATCATCGATCTTGTTAAAATTCAGACGCTGATTCAGCAGGTAGTGTGTAGGGACCAATATTCTACATTTGCTCTCAGGTGATCCTGATGCCTCTGGTCCCCAGCCCATGTTGTGCGTTCCAAGCATCACAACAACTCCATTAGGTAGGGATTAATATTGTTTGCACATTTTACAGAAGAGGAAACTAAGGCACCGAGCAATTTAGTAACTTGCTCCAATGGATGACATTACTTATAAGTCATGGAGCCTAGTTTTGAACTTAAGCCACCCAGTTGTTGACCCCATCTTCATCTCCATGACACTTAGGAAGCAGTAGCAAGTCCTTTACATGCTCTGTGTCGTTTTAGCTAATTATATGTGTGTAATAAAAACATAAAATGGGGAAGAGAAAAATTCACCCAAAATGTAATTTTAAAAATTTTAATTACTTTAATCTTCATGATCAATAACCTTTGTTTTTCCTGCTCTAATTCATCATTTATTTTCACCATGTCTCTACTTAGAGTTTATAATTTAATGTAGAATTGTTGAGTAATGTTCTATCAAGTTAATTACAATTTACTCAGCGGGGCACTACTTTTGGAGGTATTTTTTTAAGTGTCAATAGACCAAAAGTATTCATCCATGTTGGAACAGAGGTAGTGAGGATTTCTGATAGTCTGAAAATTTCACCTAAGGAGAATTATGGTGAGCCTGATAATTATTCTTTTGATTTGGGGGAACATTATTTTCTTGAGTAAAGGGTAAGATTTCAAGCCCAAAAGATTAAATAAAACAAACAAAAAAACTCAAATGATTTCAAAGCAACACTTGGCACAACACATTTTTAGTTACCTGTGTGCAAAAAGTTGCTAATACTCTAAAAAATACAGTTGACTGTTTTTACCTCCAGCTGGAGTCACAAGAAGTTTGTATCCACCAAATTTCCCTCTTGGAGCCTTCCATGAAATCTGGATGCTATCATGAGATAATACATTATATCTTAACCTTGTGGGTGGAGCCACTGAAAAGGAAAAACAAAAATTGTTTAAATATTGAAACGTGTGAGCTTCCATTTGTAAATGGAAAAGCCAAAGTAAAGTAATCAAATACACACCAGTCTTCATGTTCTTCCTACAGCCCCATTAATGAATTGATCAGTTTGCAAAATAACACAAACCCAAGAGTGTTTCTTACTTAAGAGACAAGCATTTTCCAAGTAGTAAACTGACCTTATGACAAAGAACTATGACTTAGGGTTAGAATTTAATACCCTAGTCTAGTTTAATAATTGAAGCCAACCTTGTAAAATGTTTTTATTATGTTATGAGGATGAATTTTTCTACTTGGAACATGTGAGATTTTGCAATCTACTCTACTGGGATCTGTTTTATGCTTTTAGGTTTTTCACTTTATTAATGCAGTATTTTTTACGAGAGGATAATTTAGGGCTATTACGTACCTCTTACGGTAATAAGACCTTCACTTAAAAATATTTGAGGTTGTAAAGGGCCAAAATAAAACATAATAATAATAAAAGATAATCATTTTATAAACTTGGATTTATTCTTCAAGCGTAGCTGATTTATACCTTTCAGAAAGATACACGTCACATGGTTATGAATTACTCAGCATATTTACTCTTTTCTGGTAGTTCACAAAATGGGTGGGTCTATATTACTTTTTGTGTAAGTCATTCAAACTTAAAAACATATTTTTGGAATTCTACACCACATTCCAGAATTTCAAAAGAAATACTTTCATAAGATTTTTATTATATAATATCTAAACTAATTTGTCCAAAGAAGAAAATCTAAAGCCTAACAGAAAAGTTAGTGCTTATTACCCATTTTTATGCCTGGTCTTTCTTTCTGGGGAAGGAAACAGACATTCTCCTTAACAGGTATGTAGCATAACATGAGATCTGGACGTTAGTTTGATTCCCAGTTTTGTCACTTATTACATGAGAAACCAATTATGCTATATACCAGAAATTGACACAACATTATAAACTGACCATACTTCAATTTAAAAAATATTTATCCATACGAAAAAAAAATGTTAAGCAAGTGACTGTGTCTTCTAAAGCCTTATTTTCTAGGAGAGGGTATAGCTCAGTGGTAGAGTCTGTGTTTAGCACATACGAGGTCCTGGGTTCAATTCCATTAAAATAAATAAATAAGTAAACCTAATTACCCGCCCCCCAAATTAAAGAAAAGACCCAAAAAAGTCTTATTTTTTACGAAAGGTGACAGCAATACTTTCTGCACAGGATAAGTGACAATGTTAAAGAGAATAATGGATATAGTACCTTATAATAGGTGGTCAATAAATATTGCCCTTCCTCCTTACTTCATCTAATGGGTGATCTCAAAAGCTCATTTAATACTCACAAAAACACATTGCTACCCCAATTTTATATATAAGCGAAGCCAAGAGAAGCTAAGAAATTCATCCAAGTTCACATACTGGTGCACGACAATCTTTGAGCCCAAACAAAATGCTCTGTTTCTTTGAACTAGAAGAATGAGTAATTTACTCCTCCACAAACTCTTCGCTCATGTAAAATCAGTAAGCACTGAAGGACACAATTTTTTTTGGTGGGGGGAGGTAATTAGGTTTTTATTTATTTATTTTTAATGCAGGCACTGGGGATTGAACCCAGTACCTTGAACATATGAGGCACACACTCTACCACTGAGCTATACCCTCAGAGAAACTGTTACTATTTTGCTTCATCTGGAACTTGAGGAGAAAAAATTTTTTATATGGGTTCTTATGGAAGAAAATTTAAAAGAAGAACTTAAAAAGGTTAAACAACATATCTAGTTTCTGAGCCAAATCTTGCCAGTGGACTGACAGGCATCATTGGCCGAGCATATTGCAAAGTTTTGCACGAATGCCCTGGTGGGAGAAAGTGGGCATGTTTGGGAAACGTCAAGTGGAAAAGTACTAGAAGCAGAATGAAGGCTTCAGTCTGGCAGTTCCAAGAGGGTCACTTGATTCTGTCAGCATCACAGGTGTCCTGACATCTCAAGGAGGGCAAAGAAGTTAACAATATTCAGGATTCCTAGGTTAAAGATCAGAAATTTCTGTAGCATTTTCTACCCAGGCTATTGTTCTTTAAATATGGTCTGAGTTTATAGCCTGCAACATCTTTTTCAGTCAATAGCTAACCTTCTGAACCTCCAGGAGAAAGTGATGAGGATAACATTGACCATGCCCTGATGACAACATGGGCGGTGCTCCGGAACCTGGAGGGTTATTGGCTTCCATTGAACTACTCAGGGAACTCCAGTGGGAAGGAACGACAACAACCAAATCCATCAATATTCAACTTTTTTTTAAAAACAATTTACAAATAATTCATATGACTACAGTCCCATTACAACTACTAGCAAAGAGCAATACCACAGTTTTCTTCTATCAGCGGACCCCATCTATTGCCTATGGGCGCCTGAACATTTTCACAATCATTAAAAGAAAATCTTGGTTAGGCATAAAATTTACATTTCCTCTAGGTTTTTGCCTTTAGGGGGAAAACACTGAAAAGAAGAAATGCCAGTTAAGAAAGAAGCTGAGGTCACAGCTTTGAACTTTAAAGTTAGCTCCTTTTTCCTTGTATGGAAGGCACTGGGACTTATGCCAAAGCAAGGGCAGCAAGACTGAAAGAAACACTGTAAGTGCAGTAGAGAAATAATTGTTCTTATCTCATGGAAAAAACTTTGTGTATATTTAATACCAGACCCATGATTTTTTTTTGCAAGCACAAGAAGTGCTTCGATACATATACTTAACTTCCAGTAATAAGAATAAATGCTTGCACGAACTTGACTCAATAGTTAATTTGTGTCAGTTAAAATCGTATCCTTTTTAAAAAGACAAAAATCAAGAGTCAAGTTTGAATTCTGGCACACACCAAGAAAAGCAAGCCAACAAACTCATCTTTTATATGGTGAAGTCAGACTTCTATGTCGGGTAGGGCCAATTACAATATTTGTGAATATATAAACTTCATCCCAAAGGCGGAATGAGAAGGAAAACTGGGGAGGGTCCATTTGTTATCTTCCTCTACTGCAGGGTTAGGCTTGTTATTGAAAATATAGGAGTGTTTTTATTTTGCTGTGCTGTATTTTTTCAGAGGAGAGATCTTCTTTAAATTCAAAGAATTTCACTGCAATCATTCTCATAGAAATCAAATCTCATAGGCAGAAAAGGAACGTTTATGTCATTCCATGGAAGCCTCACTGGCATCAGGTACTTAGGAAATTTTATTTCATAATACAACTATTTATTAAAGGACTAATTTTCTGCCCTTCCTTCCTTCCATCCTCTCTTTCACTTCAACTCCACTCAAATGAAATCTTGCTGTTTTGACAAGTGACGACCTATGCAAAGTTTTATTTCTAATGAAACAGTCTCATTAATTTCTTGAAACACTACTTCTCACAAAGGAACACTGAAGTGAACATCTTCTGTTCTTCCCTACCCACGATCACTTCCCTTCTTCCTTTTCTAACAGCACCTTGGTTTTCTTCCAAGGAACAGCACTCCCTTCCCACTGCATGGAGCCTTGGCTGGTCTATCAATCAGCCATCCTCCCTTGGCTAAGGGGTGAGAAAATGACTCAAACCAGTAAGGCAGACTCTCCCAACAATCTGAAACTTGAGTCTGATGATGGAAGGATGGAAAATAGCTCCAATCATTTTATTCCAAAGACTTGCCCTAAAAAAAAAAAAAGGTCACTAGTTCCTAGAAACTATATCCCAAGTGTCCCCAGATTCCTACACTTTTCAAAGCTTAATTATTTAACTTTTACTATAATTATATGAACTACTTCATAGTCTACCAGTAATATATTTTTTGCTGAAACTGGCCAGAGAAAGTTTCTTTTATTTGCAACCCCAAATCTCTGACTAATAGAAGTGGAGTGCAGGCACTAAGAGTGTTTCCCCTTCACAACACAGTTTTGGGTGTTAGATCAGTGAAATAACCTATTGCATTTATTAAGCAAAAGACATTTAAACAGTAGAGAAGTATTTGGTTGATTTTCCACGTGACCTTTAAAACCCCCAAACAAACAACAAAACACAGCTTTTTAGCTCAGTCATTTTTCAATTAAATGCAAATTCAATTCAAACAAATGTTCTATAAATAAGAGAAATTAGAATGTGAGGGAAATTTACTGTGGTTTATACTAGAGGGTCCTTTTTACCTTACTTAGAATCTGAAATGTTATAGTTTTCATGATCTATTACAAAGATGGTAAAAACAGCAGTAAGGAAAATATCCTCAAACTTCCAAATATACTTGAATACTATTAATAGTCAAACGTAAGACAAAATACATTAACACAGAAGTCTGTATAAAGTGAAATCTAGCCCCTGTGCAAAGTCTCCAAATTTATATTCTTTGATGTTTTTAAGTGACAGTTACTTTACCTTCAGTGGTTCCTTCTTGTAACCATCCAAAACAAACACTGCTAGAACCAAGTATAGATTTACTATGAAATTCTGACAAAGTATTGGTGCCACCATTCTGTCACACTATACATGGTTTTTTCCCTACAACCAACACAACATTACTCTCTCTGTGTTCCAATTCATTTAACAGCTTGTCTTGAAAAGAGGATGCTGGAATAATCCAGGGATAAACAGTTATTTGAGCCGATGTGGGTTCACATTCTCTGCCGAGGGAAAGTTCTTCATAAAGAATTACACGGAGAGACTAAGAGGGCAAAGTGCATTTGGCTGATTGGCAATTTAAGAGGACAGAATTAATTTCCTGTATGTCTTTTGATACTGACTATATTATTGCTGCATTAACAAATTATCACAAAGTCAGTGCTTAAAATAACAGTAACATATTATCTTACAGTCCTGGAAGTCAGAAGTCTGAAATGGGTCTCACTGGGCTGAAAAAGGTGTTGGAGGTTTTAGGGGAGAATCCATTTTCTTTCCTTTCCCACCTTCTAGAGGGTTCCCACATTCCTTGACTCAGCCCCCTTCCATCTTCAAAACCAACAATAGCTGGTCCAGTCTTTCTCACATGGCATCACTCTGATATTGGCTTATCTGCCTCCCTCCTCCATATTTAAGGACTCTGAGACTGGAACCACACTGGGCTCACTGGGTTATCTAATCCAGGATAATCTCCCTGTTTTAATGTCGCTGATTAGCAAATTTAATTCCATATGACATCTTAATTCCACTTTTTCATATAATATAACATATTTAGGATCTGGGGATTCAGATGTGAACCTCTTTGCAGGCTACCACACTGACTTTTTTTTTTCATTTTGTTCATGAGCATGACTTTCAAGTTGTCTATAAGAGTATAAGGTTTGAGAGTAATTAGTGTCAGCTAGCAAGCCAACACACCAGCATTAGCAAAATACTGAACATCCAACACAGCCACATATGGCTTGGCAAATTAGTGTCAAAATTGGCTAACCCATAAAAACTCATCACTATGTCTGCTTTAAAAGTAGAAAATTAATCAAATAAAGCAATTCATATTATTTGTTCAAAATCAATTATGTAAATAAATAGTGTCCTGGTAAAAATAAGATTTGGTTTCTCAAAGGTCTGACGTACTTTGCTAAAAACCAAAGCCAATGCCATCTAAAGCCTTTTCTTACTGGGTTTTCTCCAGCATATGCCCACCATCTTCCTTCTTGAAAGTTTCTCCAGCCTTCACTTCTAGGCCACTACATTCCCCTGACTCTCCTTATAATTGTGTGTGTGTGTGTGTGTGTGTGTTTTAACACTTTCAATCAGTTCTTTTAAAAACCTCTTAATTATTGATGTCTGCCAGATTTCATCCTCTCTTCTGTCCATTCACTGGGCCATCCCTTTCTAATTCTACCTCTAAGACTTCAAGTTTCCATAAGCAAATTCTCAACTACAATGCAATTCAAATATAATCACCTGCCCTTATTCCTTTCTCCTGAGGTCCACACCATCTACCTACCAGACATCTCCTTCCGGATGCCCCACCAGCACTGTAAGATCCATGTATTTGTCTAAGACTGAATTCATTATCTTTAGCTTCCAATACTTGCTTACCCTTTATTCTTTTATTAATTTCTTCAACAAACATCTGCTAAAACTGAGGTATTTGCTCTGTACCAGAGATAGCACTAAAGAGAGAACCACTGCCTTTAATGAGCTTGGATAAATAATTGGGATACAAAGATACGGACATAATAATAACACAGGGGTTGAAATTAAAAGCCCCATCTACTCAGTGCTCCAGCAAAAAGCCTGAGTCATCCTTGATACTTCCATCCCTTCAGCTCCTTCCACATCAAATCAATAAACAAGTCCTACTTCTTCTACTTCTTTTTTTTTCCTTTTTTTTTAATATCTACTTCTACTTCTTAAGTATTTCTTGATTTAATTCTCTTCTCTTTATTCTGGTTGCCTATATCAAACCCTCAACACCTATGTCCTGGGAAAAAATACAATCTTCTAACAGCCTCTCTTAGTTTAGAAATTCCTATTCCCCAAACCCTGATGAGCATCGGCAATATTGCTGGCAGTTTAAAATCTTTCATAATCTGACTCCAATCCATCTTTCTATCTCTTGTCTTTGGCCACGCCGCCCACAAAGCTTATATTGCAAGTTGTCTGCTTGTACTTCTACTTTTTTAGTGGAGAGCAAGCTGCTGGAAGACAAAGAGTAAAGTTTTATTCAGCTTGGCATCCTGA